ATCTCCACTTGGATCTCCACTTGGAACTCCACTTGAATCTTCACCTGGATCTCCACTTGGATCTCCACTTGGAACTCCACAAAGATTTCCACTTGGATCTATATATATGCAGAATGATTAACTTTTTCTGACATTTGTAAGCTGATCTGACTTCTTCACCTCAATTCCCAATAAGGATATGATTCTCCAGCGGCAGCCTCTATACATTAAAACTATTTTATACTATAAAATTGTAAAAATTGGTCTTGCTCATGGACACAGGCACCGTAATCTCAGTTAGTTTCTGAACCCCCTTCTGCAAGAAGTTTGAATGCTGTAAATTTTTAACCATCAATCGTATATTACCAACAAGCAATGGGAAAAACATGGTCACAACTTGAAAGGACATGTGCCCATGGAAGTGTTACCGGTATTTCCAACAAGGAAAGAGTTCACACACAGACATCACTTACTTTTCCCTGCAGTGATAATTTAGCCATCACAAAGCAACAACATCCTACAAAGTCCAATTTAGCAGAGGGAATGGTGAAGAATTTACACAGGATTGCTTAAAGTTATTTTGGATAAACCACATAGGGTTTGTGCATGGGGTGTCGTGATGTCTGTGTAGAGAACTCGTTCCTCTAGTTGTAGCCAGATAGTACACAGTTGGCCTCATTTTATGACCCGTGTAGACATTTCTGTGCACCCGTGCTGGCTTATAATCCAGCCACCCAGGAAATTCAAGCTTTGTTTTCAATTGTGTGTCTCAGTGAATACGTCCATCATACAATTCAAAGATTATTTCAATGAGCTGAGGCCTGAGCTTACCTGATGGTACGCTGGGCCGTCATACTGGAGAAGCTCCCCCCTCGGTAGCCGCTGTCCCTTTGGAAACCCAGCTGCGGTCTGTATCTGCCACCGCCCCGATTCACTCTGTCAAAATCTTCGGGCTTCAGGACCTTGCCAGGAGGCCTATTGTAAAGAACAAAATCAATGCAATTTGATTAGAAAATAAAAAGCAATTATTCACGCACATTTGAGTGTAACCTTTCCCCTATGGAGATTGCAGAATGGGAGAAAAATATCGTTTGGGTTTTGCCGGGACTGCCAACAATTTGATGTTGGATTGTGTGTTCGAAACGTAAGCCAAACAGAAATGCACGGAAGAGCCAGGATAATGCACAATTTACGGTTTCAAAACCGAGCATGTCTGCGCAATGTTCAGACATAACAATAAAGTGCCCCACCAAATGTTTGACAACTCTAAGGAGGCTTAAATATCCACTACTATGCTTGATCAGAAATTGAACGATGAGAAAGGGTAACTTACTTGGCTCCAGGTAACTGCTTGGCAGGAAACAGGTGACCTACAGGGTACTGTGGGTCCTTAAAGCTTACGCTGTGGGGAGAGATTAAATTAAAAGCAACTATCTCTGAGTTTTAAAGTTTTCTTATTCAGTAATGTTACAGAATATGTGCTGGATATCAGATGTCAAATAAAATGACCTCAAAACTATTGATGTCAGATGTCAAATAAAATGACCTCAAAACTGTTGATGTCAGATGTCAAATAAATGACCTCAAAACTGTTGAGAATGGAACCTCTTTAACTCTAAAAATGCCATGTGGCAGATTTTCAGAAATGCTGTCAGATTTTTGGATGTCACAATTTTTTGCAGGTAGTCTTGACATTTTCACTGAAAAGTGACAGGAAAAAGTAAGTGTGGGTAGAATGCAGGTAGAGCCCTTCCGATACATTCTTCCTTGAAGAATGCAATTCATAAAAAGCCATTGTCGTTACAGAGGACCTGTCCAACAGACTGATCGGCACTGAGACATGCTGAGGTAGAAGTCTGTAGTACAAGCTTTGTATTGCCACCCTCTGGTCTACAATGGGGAGGGGGGGTGCTCAGAAATTAAAGCCAGGGACCCGGCATTAGTGATTCCGCATGTTCTGTCAAGGAGCTGGCGTCCAACTGGGCATGAACTCTGCTGAACCAAACACTAACAGACTCCATTGAAATATATCTCACCTTAGGACATTGTTGTGTGTGACGTCTTCCAGTGCCGGCACCGGACATTTCTTTGTTCTGAAATAACAAGGATAACCACAGTTTACTGAACGTCATCTCATCCCCTTGCTTGACTCATGCAACTTGTTTGGCGTAAACTTTTTGAGGTAATCAGCCCAACTCTACACATTAAAGTGCATTTGAGGAAGCAACTCGTAAAATGGAAGTTACCCCTTTACATGTCGGATTATTGGTTTGACACTCCTTGGAGTGTGTGTGGCTGCTCTTTGCATAGGGCATTTTCCTAGCACCAATACTGAAGTGATTTGGATGATGTAGAGCCAACATAAAATTCTCAAAAACAACAGAAACAACTGAAACAACTCATCAATGCGTATCTTGGCATTTGAGTTTCTTGTCATGCTTTAGCAAAATACGGAATTGCAAAGCTTGAAAATACAAGTTGAATGGTGAGTCCATTCCATTACATGGGACAGCGAAGTCAATATCTCCACAAGCTTCAAAGAAAGCTAATAAATTGGTATGATTGACTCCCTCCTGTGATTTATACAATATCTGTCATCTGGACTCAAATTAATATTTGTGCTGATCCGTGGAGACAGAAAATTACTCCAGAACAGCCAGAATAAATAAGTCCCAACAGGATTTGTTTTTGACGGTAACATTCAAATAGCAATGCAAGGTCAGAATGGCAATGTCCATCCTTTTCCTATCCACAATGACTAGAAGCAAAGAGGAATGAACAGAATGGGGCATATGAACACTACGTTCCAT